GTTTAAAAATTTTCTATTGTAATATATTTTAAAATGTAATTTATTCCTGTGATGCAAAGCTGAATTTTTAGCATCATTACTCCAGTCTTCAGTGTCACATGATCCTTCAGAAATTCTGGCATGATGATTTGCTGCTCAAGAAACATTTCTTATTATCAATGTTGAAAACCGTTGTGCTGCTTCATATTTTTCCCCTTTGTTTTTGAAAGTTCAAAAGAGCAGCTTTATTTGAAATAGATATATTTTGTAACATTATTAATGTCTTTGCAATTCAAAATTCATGATGTAGAAATAAAACACTTTACCTTAAAATGTAGTGGATTACCAAAATAAATGGATTTGTGCATCAAAATGAACAGGCCATGATCCTTTGTTCTTTTGTATTAAAGTAAATGTACTTTTTGTCTTTTGCTGGCTGTGCTTCAGAAAACAGTGGCTTCCTCTACTGCAAAAACAGGCAAAGCTTTCATGATGGAGCTGAGACGATGCCTGAGTCATGAGAACTTCAAGCTCATCATGGAGGCACTGCAGTCCTACAAGACAACGGATGACCTGAGTAACCTTCTGGCTAATGTGGTTGAACCGCTCATACAAGACCACAACACACACTGTCTGCTCAGAGGTGCAGAAACACAACATACTCTTTCCAAAGTGTTAAGTGCTGATCTCTGATTGTGACTGAAATGAAAACTGGCAGATAGAGAGCATCATCACCATCATCATCTTTTTCTCAAGGTCTTTATCAGTTCATCCGACCACACCATAAAAAAGAGTTCGATGAGCGTTGTTTGGAGTTAACAGGTGAAGGGTGTGGCTATAAACAAGAGCATTCGCTATCCAGGGAGGAGCGAGAGGCTCTCAGGCAGAACACGGGTAACATCTCACTTGTAAATAGTGTGTAACAGTTACAGGAAACAATTAGGGCTTATTTTTTCTCTCTCAATAAGCATGAATAACATTGTTTTATTTGGACTTTTCTAGCGAAAGCTGAGATGTCGCCTGTGAATCCACCCAGTGAGCAGCTGAATTCATATCAACAGTTGAACCAAGGTGGTTCTCACCTGGGAACTGCAGAACTTAACGGAGGGGATGGGAAAAATGGAGGTATATTAGAGTTTATCGATACTAACCACCAGTGTTGCAGAAAGCTACTTTTAAAAAAGTAATGCATTAAAATATTGCTTTACTCCCTAAAAAAGTAACTAATTGCGTTACTTAGTAAATGTTTATGGAAAATAATGCATTACATTTACTTCTGCGTTACTTTTTCTCACCTGGGCTGGACTTGCTAACAAAAAATTTATTAATAACAATAACACTCTTATTTCAGCTATAAATAAAAAAAAAACACACACACACAAATGTGATGTTTAACTAAAGTCATGTTTGCTTATTTGTGTGGTTGAATTGGACCATCAAAGGTCAGCAGTGAGATTAAATACATAAAGTGTATTTGTGTTATTTAACGGATTGAATTATTGCAGGTTTTCAGTTTGCATTTCACAGTTTTTATTTATTTTGAAGAATACTGAATCTGTTTTTGTGCAAGTGCGTAAATGCATGATCACATTTAGTCTAGAACTATTAGTAAGCATCATGTTCACACAGCGCACACAACGCCTCGGCACTTACTCCTGATTTCTCTCAACATGGGGACAGGAGAGCTGTCGGTCAATAAATGGGAAAACAAAGTAACTGGCATTAATTATTTGAAAAAGTAACTCGGATATTTTCTTGTAAATTAAAAAGTAATGCGATACTTTATTAATTGTAAAGTAACGTATGAAAAAAGTAATCTGATTGCATAACTCGCATTACTTGTTATGTGTCTAACACTGACAACCACAATTAAAAAAGGTCTGCTCCTCATTCTTGAATAGGGTGGCCATTTATCCATTTTTAGATCAGACAGTCCAGTTTTAAAATACCATGTCTGTATCATCGGTGTAGGCTGGATCCACTTATTTGTCCTCTTTTTAAAAGGATACTCAACCCCAAAATGAAAATTTTGTCATTAATCACTTACCCCCATGTCGTTCCAAACCCGTAAAAGCTTCGTTCGTCTTCACTGCACGGATGCGCTGTTTTTGTTCAAATCAAAGCATAAATACACATAGAAAACGTATCCTTGTGTCGCGGCTGAATGTGGCACTTTGCTTGCGTTGAGTGGTTATTCTCCAAAATGTTGTTATTTTTGTTTTCTTCGCATACAAAAAGTATTCTCGTCGCTTCATAACGTTACGGTTGAACCACTGATGGCAGATGGACTATTCTGACGAGGTCTTTCATACTTTTCTGGACCTTGACAGTAATTTAATTTACTGTAATTTACTTGGCAGTCAATGGGACAGTCACAAGCCTCCCGGTTTTCATCCAAAATATCTTAAATTGTGTTCCGAAGCTTTTAGGGGTTTGGAACAACATGGGGGTAAGTGACTGACAAAATTTTCATTTTGGGGTGAAGTATCCCTTTAAGACCACTATTTTAAACTTTATGCAATGATTTATATTATAAATGAATAAAACGTTAATGTTATGTTCAAGTTCATATTAAGTGGAATACACTTTAGACACACTATTGTCAGTATGGACTATATTTCGCTAATAATTGCGATCAACACAGTGGCTTTTCGTTTCTGAACGATTCAGCGTTTTTGAACAAATCAGTGATTCAACAAGTCAATGATTCAGTAAGCCATTCATGAAGATAGTTGCTAAATTCAAAACGGCATACTAGTTTACCACTATTGCTATTGCCGGTGTATCTTTTTATGGCATAAATTGTAAGAGTAGTTTACTAGTATGCAGTTCCAAATCAGCAAGTCACTTGCTTAATTCCAGAATAAATCAACCATTTTGAACGCATTGATCAAATGAGTGAATCAATTGACACACTTATGACTTGTCGTCACCTGTTGATGGATTTAGTTTCATATTTAATCTCTATTCAGTATAAATTAGATTGAACACAATAATCTCCTAACATTATATATGAATTGCAACTGCAGTGTAAATGCATTCATGGCATCTCTGAGCTGCATTGAACAGTCTGTGTAAATACATCTTCGTGCCACTTCTGCAGTGCAAAGATAACATCGTCCCTTAATGGAAATGTTAATTTTTTTGTCACTGGTTTAGGATTATTTTTTAGTTTTTATCCTGCAAAGTGTCCTCCTTTTTGGGGTTAAAGAGATTGCCACCCTATTCTTGATGCAGACATTTGTATGTCTATAGAACTTGTTCTGATTGTTTGAGTTTATTAAATTTTTTCAGTGAATGTGATACGTGAAGTCCAGAAGCCACAGACATCCATCAAAGAAGGTCTGTCGTGCTCCTCTCTGCTGTCAGACATTAAACAGGCCATCGGTGCAGAAAAAAACCGTCAGATGTTTTTGGCCTTGCAGGCCTATAAAACGTCAAACAATTACGAACAGATGGTGTCAACTGTTGTGAGTTTATTGACTGAAAGAGATGAAGACATCGCTCTACTGGAACGTTAGTCTGTTTCTTTTAGATTCATAACCATTTCAATTTTGTATCAAAATGGTTATCTGTTGGGGAAGAGGCTGAGCTTGTTGTGTCTGGTCTAGGGTTGTCTGTGCTCATTCAACCACAGCACAGGAAGCAGTTTGGTGAGCTGTTAAAATCCTTGACTGGAAATGATTGTGTCGCAAACCAGGATTCAGACGTGGGATCAAGTCAACCAAATCAAGGTTTTCTTTGTAATAAGCGTCAATATTATATTCTGCTACGGGGGTAGTAGATAATTATGCTACTTATTCTTAATTAATCTTTCTTTCAGCATCTCCATTTTCTGCAGGAAAGACTCAAAGCAAGATATCATCCTTCTTTTCATGAATGCTGCTAAGATATTGATCTTCATTTTTTTTTTGCATATACCATGAATGAGGAGATTGATGCAGGAGAATGTTAAAAATAAATATTGCACAACTGACATTTCATTGTGTTATATGTAATGAAATTTTTTCAATAAATACTTAATACATGAAATAAATACATTGTTTTTAAATAAATAAATGAGTTTTATACTTCACTGTTAAATTGTTTTTTCAAGTTCTTTTTTTATTAATGCTAAAAAAAATTAAATGATAAATAGTATGTGAGTGATTTGGCATCTGACCATTTTATCTTCCCTGTACCGTTAAGTAGCACTATATTTTTTATTAATTTTATCTTTATTATAAAAAGATGTTAGACCTGAATGCGTTTATATAAAAAAAAGCTCAAAATGTATTGAGCTGGGATGAATGATTCATGAACGTTTATTGCCAGGAAAATACAGCACAAGGTACAATACTATAATGTTAACATTAATAATATACAGCTGAAAATCTTTTTATTTTTTTTTACATATTTAGAAGTTTAAATTAATTGAATATACAATTTTATTTTATTTCCCAAAAACAATATAGGCTTCTAGTTATTACATTTGTTTTGGCAAATAATAAATAATACTAACAGTAAAAGATTTATAAAACTAATTCAACACTATTAGGACTGAATTAAACAAATATAGGTTGACTCCAAATCGAAGGACTTTCCCCCCCCCCATAAGAACTTTTAATGGAGCACAGAAACTAATGTATATGTATAGTGGCAATTCAATACAAAATACCGAATACAAAATTAAATTCATGCACATTTTTTATTCAGTACCACATGCACAAGAGGTATTGCATAGTCACATTATTAATGACATTAGTTGCTAGACAAAAAAAAACATTTCGGTGTGACTAAAACACCGTAGCACTTTTTCCATTTTTGTTTATTTTAAAAGGTTTAAAATAATTAACTTAAGGTAATTTAAAATGGTAAGAAATCTGGTTTGCAAAGAGGCCAGTTCTTTTTATGTAATTCATTCACTGAAATAGATTGAACATTACAATACATTTTAACAATTAAGTCCACATACACAAGAAAGAAGAGCAATCTTATAAAACAGCATTTAAGAGAAGAGGGGAAAAATAATAAAACATATAAACAAGTAAACAATAGTTCAAATTATCTTCCTCCCTACAGTGGGGGAGCTATTCAAGAAAAAAAATCCTCCATGAAATCTAACAATATGTCATTCTTTTTGTTATGAATTTCCATTAGAGACTCTTTCAAAGATTCCATTTCTAATAAAAATTACATTTTGGTGTATGCATTTCGCAAATTTTTGTTTATGAATGTAATATTTACCTTGCTAAATGTAAAAATTAACGACATAATCATTTTGCATTTGTGTGAGTAAGTGCAAATAATTAACATCTCAACTGTAAATAGGATTTTTTTAAATTTTTTATTATAATATATGAAACACAGAATGACATTAGTATACTACATGCCAGGGAGCAAGAAAATAATGTACCTTTTAAAAAGATTCACAGTTTTTACAGCTTTCTTATTGGAAGAGTCAGAAATCAAATACATATACAGTTTTAACTCTTCCAGAAAAAGGTTAAAGAAAGGCTTACACTTACAATATTTACATTTGTGTACAAAATATTTGGCGAGAAACAAAATAAGATTGAGTAAATAAAAAACATCTGATTGTTCTCTTTCAAAATGTGTATAACCCAGAATAACATTTTCATATTTCAATGAAATTTCAGGAATTATACCACAAAAAAATACTCAAAATGTTTTTCCACAGATTCTTAGTATACTCACAATACCAAAATAAATGAGACAAATCTTCAGTTTGGAGACCACAGAAGGAGCAATTTACATCAAAATCCTCAGAAATAAACCTTTGTAACTGTAAATAGGATGTAGGAAGCAAGTGCTGTCCGATGACGACAGTGAGGTCAAAGTTGAGCAGCAGCCGAAGAAATTCTCACCGTCTCTGTCCGTACTGGAACAAAACAATGCTACGAAGAAAACCAACAGCAGATTTAAAATGTAAGTCCGTGATTTTTATGTTATGTTAGCTGGCTACAAAAGTAAAATCATGTATCTGAACTAAAATAAAGCAGTAAACTAGCTAGAGAGTGCTAACGTTTGGGCTCTCTGTAACGTTAGCTTGAAAGCTAACCGGCATCATTGCATAGTCTCCACCTCATCTCATATATATGTGTGTATATATATATCACAAGAACATTAAATAATGTTTTCTGAAGTATGTGAAGAGTGTACTGAAGACCGCTCTTTGCCTGCTTTATTCTTGCAGCTTTATCCCATTGAGCTCCTGTCATGTAAGTGCCTGATCCTCACTATGGATGAAAGCAGTCTGGAAGAAGCCATCAAGACCTACAGCGCTCAGCTTCAGCAGGTTGAGGTGGCGTTATCTGCTGGTTTGGGCTCAGAGGAGCAGGCTGACCTGCTGAAGCTAAAGGAGGACTTGCAGCAGCTCATTGAGCTCACAGAGTCCAGCCTGGTGTCTGTCAAAAAAAGCCAGTTGCTGGCTTCTTTGGAGGAGCCCTCGACAAACCAAAGTGCCACATCGGTTCCTCAAGAAGCGGCTTTAGACAATGAGTTTGCTACTTTCTATGCTGAACTGTCAGAGGACTCTGCTGAGGTGAAACAACACTCTGAACCTGATGAGGATGAAGAGGTGGATATAAGTGGAACTAAGGTACGTGCTCCTTACCGGACCTCATGGGGAACCCTAGAGTACCATAACGCCATGGTGGTCTGCCCTGAGGAGCCAGAAGGAGAAGAGGCTCGAGTCCGGGTGCTTTACCTTCATCCCACAAACAAATCCATGAAACCCTGCGGCTTCTACCTTGAGGACAAGTGCCGCTTCATGGACAACTGCAGGTGCTGTATTTGATTTCTTCAGTCATTTTAGTTTTAATGTAAGCTTGGTATACAAAGTGTGGAGTTTTTGACTGCCTGATATTATAATGTTCACAAAGAGAAAAAAAAATACTGATTTGAAAAACTTCTATACCATTTTCATCAAAAGTTTAAATTAGGTTGAGTAAAAATATATATAATTTTCCTTACACCTTTAATACCTGTGAGTGCACACATCTTAATCATTATTTTAATAAAAATGTTCATATTTTCAAGGTAAATTTTACCTATACTTGCATAAAATACTTAAAATATACATTATTTAAAAAAAAAAAACTTTGAATGCTATTGTCACTGCAAAAAGTATTTTTGTTTTTATAAATCTCATATCTTTGCATTTTTTAAATAATTTATTATATATAATCACATTTAATAATTATAAAAAATATACTTTTTTCCTTGAAAATATGATTTAAAGGTTTTATGAAAATATACTTTTTTATTTAGGTAATTATTAAATGTGATTATTATTTGCACCATAAAACTTTTCAATTATGTTTTCAACTTTAAAAGTATTTTTATAAATACATTTAAGCACCTCATGACATTTTTACAAACTAAACTAACTTGCATTTCATAAAAAGTTGTATGTTATTTAAAGAAACATTATAGACCTTGACACATGTTATGAGTCAAGGGGATCCTGTCTATGATGGCATTTTTAGTTTTATGTCGTTTTTTGTATGTTGTTTGCAGCTGTTTTGTTGACTAATATGTGTGTTTTCAGGTTCTCTCATGGTGAGGTGGTGTGTGTATCAGAGCTCAGGGACTTCCTGGAGGCTGACATCAGTAACATGGAGTCGGGCTCTGCATGTTTGGCCAAGCATGAAGATGGCATCTGGTACCCGGCCAGAATATCAGGTACACTTTCAGAGTTCTTTCACCACCATTAACAGAAAGGAAGAACAGAGATTTCTACATGATATCATTTGTTTGTTACCTTTCCCAAAATTCACAAGAACTGAGAGAGAGATTCCTTATTGATCCCCAAGGGGAAATTGAATGGAAAATAGCGGACGTTTCAAAAACACTGTACAAAAACACAACAGTATGTACACTCGATTAGGTAAAACAGAGCTAGACATTACAGGTGTGCATGAGACATTCTGTTTCTCTTTCTCCAGAGATTGAAGCTGGGTTGTACACAGTGAAATTTGACTCGCTGCTGCTGAAGGAGGCTGTGCTGGAGGCTGATGGGATCATTCCTCCTCTTCGTCAGGATGACAGTTCCTCCTCTTCCTCATCGGACTCTGAGGATGATTCTGACCAGTGTGATGCTGCTTATGCTAAAGGTATAAAAGCATAATTACAACATGCTCTGGAATATTGTGTACTGGAATGCACATTCAACACATTGTTGAAATCATGCTGACTTTGTATCTAATTACAGTATTCACATCAAGAGAGGAGGACATGGCCCAGGTAAACAGTGCAGAGTTTTGCGGTTGGGAGGCTCACACACGTGGCATTGGCTCCAAGCTCTTGCTCAAAATGGGTTATGAGCTTGGTAAAGGTAGGTGACTATATCAGCCATCAGTCTAAAAACCATCAGAACAAATGTAAAAGTATTATAAAAAGTGTCATAGCGTTTGCTTTTCTATTCTTAGTAACAGTAAGGCAAATGCTAAAATACTTTAGTAAAATTGTTAGCATTCAGCAAATTAACTTCATTTTTAACAAGTCTTTGAATGTCTAATCTGAATATCTAACCTTGAAAATTTGTCAACTTCTGCTGTGAGATCCTCTAAAGTGTGCTGCATTTGTGGACTGTGTTTAACAGTCAGTCTGTGCAAATTGAACACTGACAGCAGAGTTGGGCTGTCGCTGAACATGCACAAGTGGCAAACTTTGAATAGTTGATTTCAAACTATGCTGCGCTATATACGTCATATTCTCTGTATGCTACAGCATATGTAAAATTAGCACTACCTTGTCTTTATTTGAAAAAAATGTGATTCCAGTGCTCAGAAACTCGCCAGATTAACAAGTTGGTTACAGTGTTTACTTAGATTTATTTATGTATTTATTTATTTTTTTGAGAAAACTACTATAATAGAATAACAGAATCAAGAAGTTGCCATCTATATAATACTCTTATTTTACAGATTTTTTCGTATTTATTCATTTTCAAATTATATAATTTA